CTCATCGGATCCCGTCAACGTCGGGGGTCTTCGGGCGAGTCTGCGGTGGCTGCTCACCCACGAAGGCCCTCATCTGCACTCACTGGTCGACGTGATGGCCTCCATCCCGGTGCCGGAGCTCGGCCCGAACGCGGAGCTCCGCATCCTTCTCTTCCCCTTTGGCGGGCGCAACCCGGAGCTTTATCAACGGATGGGGTGGGATCGCATGCTCGGCTCCTTTCAAGAGGCGTTGACGTTGGTGATGGTGCTGAACGGCGTTGAGGGCGGTCTCCATCACTACCTCGCGTTAAACTCCGATGCGAATAACGAGGAGGAGGACGTGATCCGTAGCCTCGGGTTGCTCCCGCTCGGTACGGAGGTGACGCGGCATCCGGAGGCGAACGGGACGCCCACAGAAACATCGGAAGATGGGAATAGGGCCAGATCCATGCCCACTGTAAATATCCTGGAAGAAAAAATCATCGATGCCTTTGCGAATGGGATGAGCAAATGTCGCAAGATCATCCGGACCAAGCCGTTGTCGTTTCTCACCTCGGGAGCCGAGGCGATTGACTTTAGCTTGCTTCGTCAGGACTCTGGTAAGTCGATTCAGCTGGCGAAGTTCATGCACACCCCTTCGAAACGTCTAACGAAGAAAATGCAGGCGGATTTCATTAAGCTGGCCGAATGGGCTGGTCAGATCATAACTCAATCGAGTTACATGAAGGCGTACGTTCGCGAGCATGCTTATTGGCTTGGCTTCGGCAGCGGAACGAGTGAGCCCTTCTTGAATAGCCCGGACGTTGACGAATCTGGGAAAGTCACGCCAAATTTTCGCGTCAAAGGCTTCCAAAACATTGTTGTGGGGGATTGCTCAAGTGTATCGAACGAAGTTTTCTCAAGCCGTTCGTGCAACTCAAACGCGTTGTCAGCAGGGAGTGTTTCGACCGCCATCGATGCTGGTAGATTAGCAGCGCAATCCATAGCCGCAATCTAAAAAGGCATTACGTTTCCCTAAGCATTATGAATTCTCCACATATATATGTATCACCATATTTCTAATTTAACTTGTTGATTTGTTTCGGGCTTGTCTTTTCTTCATGAACGTTGTTTTACATGTGTAGTATACTATATAAAATTGACTTTTTTCTTCTTGGGGGAGTAAAAGATGTAAGCAGGAATTTCAGAAAGCGGCTACGCTTAGATTTAAATTAGATCAATAGAATACTTAATAGAAGAAATAAGTCTGGCGATGCCGCCTTCTCGGAGTTGGGTTTCACTAAGTGACAAGGAGGTTCTCCAAGAGCTCCAGAATATCGTTTTGCGACTCTCCACCAAAGCAGTGACCCCTGTAGGCAGGCGATCCAGTGAGTGGCAACTGCGCCTTTCGGCGTTGCAGGAGCTTCAGGCGTGCACGCGCGCTGATCTTTCCCAACGACGGAATTTCATACAGATCATGTCCTCCCTCTTTAAAGTACCACTTCTGGAGCAGTTGGAGGATAAGCGTTCGAAAATCGTGCGCGCGGCGTGTGAGGTGATTCGAGATTTCGTCATCTACTCAACGAACCGCATGGCCTGTGCGTTGTTGAGTAGCTGGTACGTTCCGACGCTGCTTCGATTGACCGGCAGTACCGTCTCCGTGATCGCCCACGCCGCTGGAGAAGTCCTGCACACCATTTTGAACTCCGGTGGTTGCAGTATTGAGGCATTCAACCACGTCCTCAAATCCTGTTGCGCGCGCCACGCGGTGATGCGAGCCAATGCGCTTGAGATGCTCGCGACGGTGTTGCAGCAAGCCAAGGGAACCTCCCAGCAGCTTCCCATCGCCAGCTACTCCGCGCCCATTCGCCGAGTGCTCCGGGAGGGCCTCACCGATGGCGATTCGCGAGTTCGGCAAGCGGCGCGCACGTGCTACTGGGCGTTCTTCGCGATGGAGCCGAGCGATGCGGAGGTGCTCCTCCACAGCCTCCCAAAGGCCGTGGGGGCCGTTCTCAATGACGCGAAGGCCGTTGCCTTTCAGCATATGGGTGCCGTGCAGCCCACGGAAAGCGGCGCGCCCGAAGGCGCATCCGATCCAACCGGGAATTCCCACACGGCAGGGCAGGCCGCTTCCACCTCTCCAAGAGAATTCTCAACGGGACCGAAAAGCGCCGCCCTGCGTGAAGCTGCAACGCTCGCGGAAGGGCGAAGGGAGGGAAGGGAGACGAGTATCGCGCTCTGCGAGGATTTACGCGCGGTCGCCGCTCGAAAGGCGCGTGCGTTGCTCCTCCGTCGCGCCCGTCTAGCGATAAACCCGTCCTATTCACCTTCAGGGGAACGGTTTGCTCTACAGCCCGCCTCGCGCAGCGCTTTTTCCACCTTTAAAGGAGGGCCTTTCCAATCTCGAATCGGTAATGAGGAGGAGGCAGCGAGGGGTTTGCAGGGGGGGTTGACAGAGAGGCATCCCAACGATGGGGTCACCAGAGCGCTCACACCGGAGAGATGGGCGGCGCTGAAGCAGCCCCTCGCGAGCGGCGACTGGCGAGCGCGTTTGGAGGTGATTCATGAGCTTCGACGCATCTACGCGTACTTAGATGATCCAATTCGCGAGGAATGTATTAGTGAAATGGTATGCCATCTGGACGATCCACACTTCCGTATTCGTGAGGCTACACTTGAATTTCTGATCGGACTGCCAGATCAGTCGCGCATCGACGTGTTGCATCGTTACATGGTCGAGATGGTATCGGTTCTTATCATGAACACCAACAGCCCCAAGGGCCGGATTCAGGGCTTGTCTAGACAACTCCTCGCCCAGCTGATCACGGAGTCCGAGGCGGAGGTCATTATGGATGTCTTTCTCCACTGTGCGGCGTCTGCGTCGACGCCGAATCTTCGAAAACGCGCCACCGAGGCCCTTCAGTTTATCTTCGTGAAGCACTCCAGCTACTTTCACCAGACGAGGCCGATGCTTCGGGTGCTTTCCGCCCTCGCGCGGCAACTTTCGATGGAGTCGAAGCGCCGAAGCAGCAGCGGTGGTAGTGGGGGGTGGCAGGCGACTGTCAACGCCCTCCTGACGCTTTACGCCGTCGCTCATGTCTCCTTTCTTCGCAGTTTGCGAGGATTGGAGGATGGGGAAGCGCAAGGCCTGCTTCGGGAGGCCCTGAGCTCGGATTTGCCTGATCTCGAGGGCGACTCTGCTTCGGCGACGCACCCTCCTCAAGAGCGCTTTCGCCGGGAGAACCTCGTGCCGCCCCCCTTCCGGGCGTATCTGAAAGGCGCGCGAGGTGCCGCGACGGAGGCCGTGCGATCAGCCGCCCACCCTGAGTCTCTTGATCCTACCAGAGGGGGGGATATTCTTAGGAGTTCTTCCTCTCTAAGCGGGAAAAGGAACGAACCAAGACGCCCCATGGGATCCCTAATGGGCACCAGTGCGCCTCTTTCTTCTGGGGAGGTGCGCGCCTCGGCGGGGGTGGGCCGCTACTTCGCCTCATCCTCGCCGCCTATCGCGGCCTTCAATGCGGTGGGAGAAGGCTACCACAGTAGCGACGATGAGAGCGACGTGATCGCCCCACGCCTATTTCCCGATTCTTACCGATCGGCTCGAAAGGTGACGATCGCTGCTGTTCATCCACCTCTCACGCGAGCCGCGTCTTCGGCACCAGAGCCAAAGTGTAGAGCCGATGGCCATGCTCAGCGTGCGAAAACAGACCTCTTCAATTCCCCTTTCTCTATTAGGCAATTTGTCGATCCGTGTGAGGAGCTTTGTGAACCCCTTCCTGAGATGGAGGCCGCTGGCTCCCCGCGAAGGCGAGGGACCCTACCCAAGCAGCCTCCCCTCATGGGGGGACGACGATGGATTCCGGCCGATGAGGGCGACGTCGCCGCTGGCTTCCTGTTGAACCCATCCTCACCGCAAGATCTCATTGCGGAGTTGCTTCACAGCAGGGATTTTTTCGAGCGATGTGAGGCGCTCGAGCGAATTAGGTCCTCCTTGCACGAGTCGGATGCCCATTTCTTCTGGGCTGAGGAGGAGGTTGCTCCGAGGCTCCTCGTCGTGATGGAGCAGTACTGCACGGAGGCTCTTCAGCCCAATCACCGCGTGCGGCGCCGCGGCTTCTTGGTGTTGCAAACCATCATCGAGCTCCCATTTATGCGTCCGCTTGTCGCGCGGAAGCTCGCCCGTCTGCTGCGTTACTGCCGGATTGGAATCGACGACGCGTTCGTGGAGGTTCAGCAGGAGGCGGCCCGGACGATGCATCAGGCCCTTGTCAGCTGTAAACTCCCACAGGATCTGTGCTTGAATAGCCTGGCGGCGTGTTTGGAGGGGTGGCAGCGGGGTCCGGCGCGGTGTGATTCCACCAGGGGCTGGCTGGAGATTCTGAATGAGGTCGGCCGACTCTTCGAGAGGATCGCTGGGCTTCCTTTGAAACAAGGACGTGGTAGTAGTAGCACGCTAACGGGATCTATTTTACGGCGCGTCGTTCACGTTCTCCAGTGGTGTGTTGATCACTGCGCGGAGAAGGTTCGTCATGCCTCGACCTTGGCATTTGTGGCGATGTGGAACGCGTTGGGTTCGAGCGTGCTGCCTTTTTTGGTTCCCCTGACGGTCGCGCAGCGTGAGTTGGTAACGGCGTATCACAATAAGGCTTTTCGAGAAGCATATGAATTTTGTGATCAAGCACCGGATTATCTTTTTCCTGAGCGTGGGTCGGTCGCGGTCGAACGGGGGGAAGGGCCGTTACCACGTGATTTGGACGCAGAAATGCGTGCTATGGGCTTGGTAAAATAAATTAGAGACTGCAAGCTAACTACATGAAGATTTCGTTGACGCATGTTTGTTTATTTCAATACTTTTTTTTCCGGTACCTTGTTCACTCTCCGTTATGGTGTTCGCACAAAATAGAGAGGGATGACAATAGGCAGATTACCGGGCTTCATTTGTTTAACATTTGAGCTTTGTTTCATTTCTTCTCTCAGAGGTTTCTGTTGCTGCCGTATTTTATTAGATATTCATTTTTGGGAGGGTTGCCCCTTGTTTCATCCGGATTCCGCTTTATTACTTTCTATGACTACGTCTTTACGCTTTGGTAAGTGTTGAAAATAGGTTGTTTCATTTTCTCTCTTGTTTGGTGCACTCTATCATTTTCAGTTTTTTTCTGTTAGGAAAAACTAAAAGGCCGTTATTTCAATAATAATAAAATTCGAAGCTTCGAAATTATCGTTTATTTTTGTCTGAAGTTATTTTTGTAGGGCCAGCTCAACTAAATGTCCTACGTGGTCTTTGCTGTAGAAAATGCGGATCGACTTATCCTCATGCGGCCTCCACAGGTGCCCAATGGTTCTCCCATGTTCAAGCAAATAGCTCTTAGTTATATACAAGCCCCGAAACAAGCTAAGCGTACACTAGCTGGAGGTTTCGGACCTGAAGAGCCGTGCGCGCGCGAAGCCGCGGAGCTGATCCGCGCCGCCTTCATAGGTAAACAGGTCAAGTTTGAGGAGGACTACTTCATTGAGGAACTCAAACGCAGTGCTGGCCGCCTTCAACTCTCCACCGGTGAGGATGCTTCGATGATGCTCCTGGAGGCGGGCCTCGCGGAGGTCTCCGAGAACCTTCCTCAGAAGCCCAAAAAGGGATTGCTGGATCAATACGTGAACTTGTCAAAGGCTGCTCAAAAAGCCCAAAAGGGGATCTTTCATCCCAAGGCCACGTCGTGTGTGCGTCAGATGCGCGAGATGACGGTTAGCGAGCTTACGAAGCTAATTGGCGATTACAAGGGAAAGGATCTGTTGGTGCGCATCGAACGCGCCATTTCTGGGGTCGTTTTGTTAATTTCCGCCGCTGAGTTTGGCGACACACAGATCCCGGTTCATCTGGCGGGTGTTCAAGATTTGACCATGGAGGACGAAACGATCGCGATGCAGGCGAAGTTCCACACAGAGCGCTTTCTCCTGAACCGAAACGTTATCATCCGCTTTGATGGTACCGATGATCGCGGTAACATCATGGTTTCTATCATCTCACGAAAGGGCAGCTTTCAGGAGGAACTCCTCTCCAAAGGCCTTGCCAAGGTTGACAACAGGGACCCAACGATGCCGCCACAGCATGCCGATCTGGTGAAGGCGGAGGCGGAGGCCAGAAAGAAAAAGGTCGGGGTTTGGATCCATTTCGTGGAGCCTATCGAAAAAGATCCAGCGGCGACCACGCAGACGTCTGATGGGGAAACTACTGACGCCACCATCCCTCAAAAGGCTGAGAAGAATGGGGTTCAGGTCGTTACGGCAAACGGCGCGCAAGCGGCCTCCCACAACGTCCCGCAGAACTTCACCGGGCGACTCGTGCAGGTCGTGCACGGAGATACGGTGGTCGTGCAGGAGGAGGGAACGGGGCGTTATACGCGGCTTTCCCTAAGCGGGGTTCGCTCCAGTAAGAATATCGTGCGCGATCAGGATGGTGGCGCGCCGGAGTGCCGTGTGACCTATCATGATTACTCCTGGGAGGCGAAGGAGTTTCTGCGCTCGCATTTCCTCGGCGCCCGGGTTGCGGTGAGTGTGGACTTTACGCGGGTGATACCGGAGACGAAGGAGGTTCGCCCCGCCGCGTCCTTGACTTCCTTAGAAACGGGCACCAACATTAACGCCGCAGTGCTTGAGGAAGGGTACGCGGTTTATTTTCTCGCGAGGGGCGATGTTTGTTTGGGCGCTGATGTCTTGCAGGCTGCTGAGGAACGGGCTAAGGCAAACAAGAAGGGTCTTCATAGCGACAAGCCCCGCCCCGTGGTGATCATAACGGAGCTGGGTCGTCTAGGAGAGAGCAAGGGTCGCTACTATCTGAGCTTTCTGCAGCGTGGTATGCAGGGCGGTCGGCCGCCCGTGCTGCGGGGCATCGTTGACGTTGTGCTCGGCCCCACCTCCTTCCGGGTGTACATTCCGAAGGAAAACTTTCAAATTCCCTTGAAGCTCGCCGGTGTGATCGCCCCCAATGCCGCCCTCAGGCCAAACGACAAGGATGATCCTTTTGCTGGGGAGGCCAAGGATTTTGTTACTACTCTTATTCAGCAACGTGAAGTGAACATTCAGGTGTACACTTCTGACCGGGGTGGTAACTTTATCTCTAGTGTAACCTTGCCAAATGGCATCAATGTGTCAGTAGCGTTGGTAGAAGAGGGGCTTGCCACGGTCGGTAATGCAGATCGCCTTCCATTTGCGGAGCAGCTATCTGCTTCTGAGGCAGCTGCACGAAGCGCCAAGAAAAATATCTGGTCTGGGGAGGGAAGTATCCCGCAGCGTGCCGCCAAGATCGAGTCTGAACGGAGCGCCGCCAATTCAACGAAACTTATGCCAATGGTGGGCGATTCATCTAGCTCGGCACGCTATGTCATTTCTGAAGTCAATGAAGACGGTCTTTCGGTATATCTGCAGGAGTACGGCCCCCAAGTGGACGAGAAGAAGGCTGAAATTCAAGAGCTTCTCGACCGCACGGTGGCCGCCAGCGCGTACACGCCGAAGAAAAGAGGTGAGCTCGTTGTAGTTGAGTACAAGCCCGAAAAGCTCTGGTGTCGTGCAAGAGTCGTACGGATTGTGCAAGGAAAGGCGGCCGCGGAGGTCCACTACATTGACTTTGGCAACACCAACACTATTTCTGCCAAGCACATTCGCGCCGTTCCAGAGCTTCGTGAGTACGATATCGTGCGAAATACGGCACCTTTCGCGAAGCTAGCTTACCTGGCCTTCGTCAAGAAGGAGTTACCCTCTAACATCGTTAACAGTGGGGCAGCAGATATTGTTTATGAATACACAGATGCGGATGTCGTAGCGCGTCCAATGTACAAGGATGGAGCTGGCAGCGTTTATTACATGATCACTGCAAACGGGCAAAAAGCCTCACTTGGGGAGACGCTTCTCCAGCATGGCTATGCTATTTTGGACAAGCGCTCAGCTTCTTTGTTTCCAGCCGAGTACAAGCGCCACGAAGCTGCACAAGAAATCGCACGTCGGGAGCACAAGGTTTTGTGGCAGTATGGTGATATCAATGACGATGATGATGAGCTTTATTAAGTGATGACTATTAAAAGCAGGAAAAGGTTAAATTCACATCGTACGAAGGGTTGTACTTTCTTTTTCATTTTTTCTAAGCGCAAAATAAATGAATCTCATCAGAAGTATTTTTCATGTAATTATGGCTGACCTCCCCCTTATGATAGTTTTCACTATTCTTTTGCGCTTTGTGTTGCGAGAGATAGAGAACATTCACCCGTTATGATCAGTTGGCTTTATTTAACTATCATTATGGTGGTTTTTTTTACTTTAATGCCTTTACACCTGCAAAAATATTCAGAATAATAGTACCTAAAAAACTTACAATGGAAGAAAAAATTTCCATAACAAATAGGGGAATTTCTGTGCTTTTTCCCCTCTAACATATCTTGATGGGCTCAAACTGCATTAACAAAGACAAAGGTATCTGGTTTGTTGTATCTTTGTCAAAAATATTTTGACAACTGGTATATAAAAACAAATACTACTTCACAATCTGTGTTGAAGCAATGAAATTAGTAAATTGGCAATTTAGTATTACCTCAATAGATGTAAACAAAAATATAACTGTAGTTTCTATCTTTGTCTTCTATTTTTCATCTTGATTTGCTCTTTCATTCTGAGTATTGCTGTTGGAGCACAGCCAGTAAAGCGTTCAAGCACACACTATATATATATATCTATATATATATATATAGATATAGATATATAGATCTAAATATATATATAAATAAACTTAAAATATTAATATTCAGATAAACATATAAGTTTTGTGGTTAGCTTTTCATTACCTTGGTATCTCTGTAATTTACCATGACGGCGCTTCCGCATCTTCAGAAGCAGCTACGCGAGATGACTACGAGTCCCCCGGCTGGGTTTCGTGTAGAGGTTGATAAAAATATTTACCAGTGGACGGTATGGTTCGCAGGCCCCCAAGATACTCCGTATGAAGGAGGCCAGTACAAGGCTCAGCTGTGCTTCACAAAGGAGTTTCCAATGGAGCCACCGAGCTTCCGTATTTTGTCGACTTTTTGGCATCCGAATGTTTATTCAGACGGCCGTGTATGCATCTCAATCTTGCATCCACCAGGTGTAGACGAGATGAACGCCGAAGAGAGCGCAATGATGCGCTGGACTCCTGTTCAGACGATCCGCTCGGTTCTGATATCTATCATTTCACTTCTGAGTGATCCTGATCCCAAGGACTCGGGCGCCCCGGCTAACGTGGATGCCTTGGTGATGTACCGTAGGGATCGTGGCCTCTTCAACGCGAAGTGTAAGGAGCTGGCTCAAAAGTCTCTCCTGGAGCTGCCGCCAGATTTCGTGCCGCCGAGGATGGATGAGAGGTCGGAAAACTTGCATGCGGTTCGTCCGTGCTACAAGGGCTTAGTGGTCGATGAGGATGAAGTGGATGATTTTGATTTGATTCCCTCCCCGTCGTACTCCGTGTCTGGTCCAGAGCGCTACCGTGAGGAGCTTCAGCAGCTTCGCTCTCTAAACCTTGACACCACACTTGACGACGATGAGCTTTTGCAGCTTCTGGCGGAATGCCGTGGCGATATTGCTACAGTTTTGGAGAAATTGTTTAGCCAATAGCGCTGCGTTTCTTGCACGTTCTATTTAGTCTGTTGTTCATTGTAGATACTTCACTTGGCTTATCTTGTTTTGTTCTTGACTGGTTGGTGTAATAGATAACATGCTGTGGGCTTTACTTATTATTATTATTACTACTACTATTATTATTCAGATATTCTTCAGTCCCCTTTTCCTTTTGTAATATGCCCTAACTTTGTGGATATGGGTCTTAATTGCAAAAACAAAGTAGCCGATTGGAGTTTAGACTTTGTCAAGTTTATTTTTATTGTTATTCTATTACGATTGTTTTGTAATAAAGATGGGCTCTTAAAAATAACTGAATATGCAGTTATTTCATTATCTCAGTCTGAGAAACATTTTTCCACATTTTTGCTATTGTGCATATTCTTTAGTCATAAATTATGGGAGCTTTTCCACGATTTACTGAGTGGTGCTATGTTCGATTTACTTTTCGTCTTTTCGACTGCGCAGATGGCGTCTAACTAGAGTTTCGATTAACTGGAATGTAAGGAAAGCCAACAATGGGGGTTATTTTTTCCTTCTTAAAGTATGCCGAAGTATTACCTATCAAAACTATAATGTCTAATGAATCATGAATAAAATGCAAAAGAATAGCTCAACGCGCTATCTGTGTGTGGTGTTATGGTAATACATCTTCAATATTTATACCTCCAACTGATATCTTCCGTTAATGTTGGTGATATGAATGTTATCGCGTTCATGCATTCAAATAAAGGAGCTAAATAAGTTGGAAAGGACATCTATATATATATAATTATATATATATATATATAGTATCGACGGGGCCTTTAGGGATTAGAGCAAAAGGACTCAATGGCACCTCTTAAACCCAAACTAAAGGACTCCCCACAAACTTTAGTGGCCAACAATGCTGCCGCTCTCTCCACCTTCCCACTCTGGGACGATAATCAAATCGCCATGGAAAACTGGGGAGCTCCCCTGATCGCTACCAGAAAGTCGTCCATGTATGGAGGGAGGACCGATCCTGTAGCAAATCTTCTGTCGAAAAATTCGAAAGAAACTCACACTTCAAAAAATATGGGGAATAAAGATGGTGGTGGTGCCAATGAGTCGTATGTAGATGCAGAGGGTCGGGTCGCTCTCGCATCTTTCCTGGAGTCAGAGCTGTCTGATTCCGTTTCCAAGGAATCTTTGCCCACGTTTTCTTGGGCGCGCCCTGTAGATATCTCCAAACCCTTTCGTCCAGTGGTGCATCGAAATGCGACGCCGTTTGTTGATCCATATGCCCCCAAAGAACAGCTTCTGCCACTGGAAGCGGCGGAAGAGGAAAGTCGTACTTCCATGGCAGAAGGGTCTTCCTTGGTTAGTATTGGAAGCAATGGTTCGCAGCGACGTGGAAAATCTCAGGTTGCGCCTGCTGCAGAGCCTAGCGCTCCGTTCCATCAGCTGTATCCTGAGGCAGTCAGCGTGAGAAAGGATCTGGTAGGTCAGGATTGGGCCTCTTGGCAATCGATGGAGTCTGAAGAGGCGATCAGGCGGTATAGGGAGCTGCCAGAACTCATGGAGCCTTATGATCCAACGTATATTTTTGGTTGCGCAGAGACCCCTGGTGAGGCTTGTGGCTCACGCTACAGCACGGCTTTACGGCATAAACTAACGCGCGTGGCGCGGCTGGAGGCACTTGACCACATGCCGCCATTTCTCATGAGCGCGTTCAACAGTGTTTTGATGGTCATCCAGTGCTCGCAACACCTGGTGCCCAAGCAGAACTATCTCTGGGAGCTTATTTACCCTCACGCTCCTGGCACCTGTCACCCTGTCTATAATCCATTCGGTAAATATGCCGTGAAGCTTTTCATCAAAGGCGCTTACCGTAAGGTTCTTGTGGATGATGCAATGTTAGTAGACTCCCTGGGAAGACCATTCTTCACCATTACGTCATACTGGGAGCTATGGCCAGCCATTCTCTTTAAAGCAATTTTCAAGGCAGTGCAGGCTGAAATCAATGGTGGGGGCTCGTTGCCTTTACATCTTATGAAGAAAGTTCCGGAGGCACTTTTGACCTATTTGATCGGAAATTGGGTACCCCAGTATCTGAAGCCCACACAGGCCCCTGTGGAGTGTGCTGCCCTACTCCTCGAGTGGCAGCGTGCCGCGTCTGCCTCGCAAAACACCTCCAAGGAGATGAAGGATCCAGACCCGCAATGCTCCACCGTGGTAAACGAGAACAAAGTAACCAATGATGTGAAACCGGTAGCCGATACGAAGATACCTGAGGAGGGTTCGGGCACTTCGCCAAAGGTCTTATCCTTGAAGGCCACCAAAGGCTCGACGTCGGCTCAGATGGCAGCGAAGGACGGCGGGTTAGTCGACCGCGTGGACCCGCCCGATCTTGTGGACGTCGCGCCAAATGTGGCGTCGACGATCATTTGTGGCCTTCGAACGGCCTGCCCGGCCTACCCCTCCTCTTCCCCTTCCACGCAGCTCTACGCCGTTACCCACGTCGTGCCCTTTCGCAACACCCTTGCGCTTTGCCTCGTCACCACCCCACGCGCGGCCTTCCCTCACAAGAGCCTCTTCCAGCAGGAGACGGAGTCGAGGGAGGTCTGTGATGTCCTCGCCCATGCCGCACAGGGGTCACCATGCGGCCTCAACCCGTCCGTTTCGATGTGTTGGTTTACCTTTGAGGAGCTTTCCGAGTTCTTTGATACTTTGGTTGTGTTCCGCTGCTTCAATCAGCGGTACCCTAATCACGTCGTACTGGACGGCGCCACCACCGCTGGTCCGATTTTAGCGGCCCTCGCCGCGGCGGCCAATCCAACTTCGCAAGCCCAAGGCCCTAGTGGGCATAAGAAGCAGGCTCGACCTAGAGCAGCTTCCATCACAGCGTTACCTTCCGCGTTGGTGGTCGGTGCTTCTGGGGTCACTAGGGTCCCCACCACGGCAAGCGTGACGGCATGGCTGAGCGTCAAGTGTGAATCTGATGAGAAGGTGGCGGTTGTCGTGCAAAGCGGTGAAAGAATCCCCAAAGAGACGCCACTCGTGAACGAGTTGGACAACCAAACGAAAGAATCTTCTGCCACCAACGGTCCCTGTACCGATGACATGCATAGCGAAAACGAGCCATCAAAATGCAGTGGTATCATCCAACTCGAGCTTTTCCAGTGGGATCTGGCCGAGCCCTTGACGAATGCCGCGACCCTTTCCTATCGCATCGGGGACGTCTCCAGCTCGGAGCTGCACCTAAGTCCCGGCAACCATGTTTTCCGCGTGACAGTACAGTCCATGAGTGCCACGGACACGGTTACCTTCCTTTCACACGGTGGATTGAACCTGAAGTCTGATTTGAGTGACCTGCTTAAGGATACTAGCTTTAGCTACATCGTCGACGCCGGCGTCTACCCTGGTGTCGAGCGCGCCGATGAAGAGATGATCTGGTTTAAACGGGTTATCAAGCTATCGTCCCCGACGTGCGTTACGGCTGCTTTGTCAACTTTGCCCTATACCGAAGACCCCAGCCCAAACCGAAAGAGTATCCTAACTGGGTCCAATCCCTCCGCTCTCAAGGGTAATGCCAGGGCTGGTACGCCAGGTTACGTGAATTCTCCCGGCAACTCGCCTAGCCGTGGCGGCGCCGGCGGTAGTAAGGCGACGGCGAGTACGGGTGGTGCAAACCTCACCTTTAAACCGACCTTTATAGAAGATACAAGTGGCCAAACGACCAGTAGCTCGATCCTCCCGTTCACCAAGCTTCTTCTGCTTGATTTAGATAACGAAATGAGTCTTGGCTGCGGAGACCAAGGTCGCTTGGTGCGCCGGCGCTTGGTTCCTAATCAGCGAGGATACATGATGCTCGCGTATGCCTACATCTCACGTGCTGACATGCTTTCTATGGAAACCGCTCATGAAGACGGCGGTGAAGGGGCAGGTACCAAGGATTTGCAGTCTACTACTAGCCAACAGGACGCCGTAAGCATGCCTCCATTCAGTAACAAGGGTATATGGAAGCTGCATATTCGCTCCGACAAGGAGTTGCTATCGATGGAGGCAATTCCTGTTTCTGCTTTACAACGAAGATTTTCAGGCAGCCTTCAACGTGGTGGAAGCACAACGCTGTTTTGCAAAACCTTGACCCTGACCGAGCCGGCCTACATTTCACTTATCCTGAACTTGAGCGAAAATTATTTTATGCCTTTCAAACTCCGAGTCTGGGCGTCGTCGTCGAAAGACACGGACGATACTGCAATCGGAAGCGGGAGACCCTTAAACCTGATGACGCCAACGCCCAGCGCGCGATATATCATGCTTTACGAATCCATAGTGGAGTTTGAGGATTGCAAAAGTTCCCATCTCTTTGTACCCGATCTGCTTTTAGATCCCTCGGGTGAGAAGCCCAAAAGCGGAGTATTCTACCTCGAGGCGGTCACTTCGCCCGTGCACACTCAGAACTGGAATACCTTTTGCACTCAAATGAGGTCGGACGAATTCCATCGATTGCGGGAGGAGATGGAGGAAGCGGTCGAAAAACGTGTGAAGGAGGAGTTAGAGGAGATTTCCCAGGATCCGGTCAGTTTCATCGAGCGCAAGACCAAGGAAGAGCAGGAGCTCCAGCATCAGAGTCAAAACCCTCAAAAGCAAACCTTAATGGTCGATAACAGCTCTTCCGGTCGCGACAAGGGGAGTAACCCTTCCGCCGCGGCGACCTCCCGCCGCGGTCGCTCCACGGATAAGAAAAAGGTGAGCCAGGGGGCCTCGATCAAAGCCAGCGTGGTGCAGGTCATTAACAACTTGCGTAGCGAACAGGGCGCAAACGCGATGCAGGATAAGCAAAGCCTCGTCCCGGCCGTCCCCAGTCGGTCCTCAACCCATGGCTGTGAAAGCCTTGACCCGTCTGCGGACGCGTTTGCCATCACCTACGACCTCCAATTCTTTTCCTCCAGCGCGAAGCTCGAGATGAAGTTGGCGCGGCCCTCGGATGATATCGCGCTTAGCTTCCTCAAGCGCCT